AAGAAAGGCTATTATACTATTAAAGAATACTTGAATGACAAAACTGCATGGCTGTAACTGCAAATTTGTTTTGTATTTGTTTGCAGTGTCGTGTCGTACAGATAAATTACCTTAATTCTAAGTAACTATTTTAGTTGGTTTGAGTGGTTATGGGTAGTCATGCTCTCTTAAAAATCTCTTCGGCGGTGTCGTGTGAGGCGGGTCATTGCGTTCCCTACAATATGGTCGAGCGAAACGATGGCTGGTTCATGCGTCATGCTCGTGAACGGGTGCTGCCAGCAGAGATGAGTCTGCTCTATACTACTTTATTATTATTATAATGATAATTAATTATTTAATTTAAATTTTATTTGTAATTGTATTTATACTGTATGGCACAGCAATCAAAATCAAAAAATTAGGTGAACATTTATTATTTCTGAGATAAAGATTTAATGGTGGTGTGGATTCTGGCATGGTTCTCTAGACCTGAACTTTGGTTTTGCAGTGGTGTATCCTTGTCCTTCTCTATACGGAGTGAAGGGGGGGCACTGATGTTGGGTTTGGTTTTGGGTTTGGAGGGTAGTGGCAGAGTCGACACTAGTGTTTAGGTAATCACATGCATGTGTCCTACAGTTGTGTTTATAGTTTTTATAGTAATGTACACTGGTACTTAATTTTTTTCCCTATTTTGCTATCTAGTATCCATATGTGGTTATGAGTAGTCATGCTCTCTTAAAAATCTCTTCGGCGGTGTCGTGTGAGGCGGGTCGTTACGTTCCCTAAAAAATGGTTGAGCGAAGCGATGGCTGGTTCATGCGTCATGCTCGTGAATGGGTGGTTTAATGGTCTAAGGGAGCTGGCGAACAAAACGGTATAGGTAATTACTTACGTAAAAAAAAATGTTACAGGATAAAACTGAATGACATACATCCAGTGAGCTTTTGCAATGGTTTTTAATTTATAATTTTAACACTGTTTTAGGTGGTTTTGATTGAACATTATTTGAGATTCAAATTCAACGGGCCGGAAACCTCCGCACTGTAAAAAAAAAGTAGTGTGACCAGATGCGTAATTATACCGTTTTGTTCGCCAGCTGCTCTTATATATAATATTATCCGGCTGGTTTTCGCATCATTAAAGAGTTAAAATTTTAAAGAATATTATTCCAAATTCGAATGTGTGTTTTTCATTTGTGTATTGTTTGACTTTTAAGATGAGTGACCCTAAAGCAGAAATTCGATACTTTTTTAAATTTTACTACAAAAAAGTAAAAGTACAACATAATGTTTATGGACCTACAGTGCCTATGAGAGTAGCACAAATATGGTTTAGACCAGTGATTCCCAAAGTGGAATCGACCCCTAGGGGTCTATGACAACCTGCAAGGGGTCTACGTCAGCGAAAAAAAATCAATATCAGGTAAGTAGGGGGTACCCAACACGTAAAAACATGGCAAGGGGTATACGACACAAAAAAGTTTGGGGAACTCTGGTTTAGACGTTTTCAAAAATCGTCAAAAATGCACGTCGCTCTGGTCGCTTTGCTACGAATATAATGGATGCCATTTTTGAAAAAGTGGACTACTTTCGGTATATTCATAGTTACGACGTAGCTGAAGAACTGGGAATTGACCACAAAACAGTTTTGACGCATTTGAAAAAAACTGGGTAAACGAAGAAGCTCGATAATTGGGTGCCTCACGAGCTAACTGAAAAAAACCTAATGAACCGTGTACTCAATTGTTATTTTTTATTACGAAGATATGAAACCATACCATTTTTGATGAAGCTGATAACTCGTGATGAAAAGTGGATCACGTAGGAGAAGAACGTGCGAAAAAGGTCGAGGTCAAGGACCGGTCAGGCTTCACAGATTCTGGCGAAACCCGTGTTAACTCGCGACAAGGTGATGCTGTGTGTATGTGGCATGGAAGGGCATTATTCATTGTGAGCTATTACCGCACGGCAGGACCATCGATTCTGAACTCTACTGCTAACAAATGAGGAGATTAGAGCAATCTACAGAAGGGGTGTGGTTTTTCAATATGATGACGTTACACCTTACACGACTTTAACCACTCAGCAACAATTAAGAGAGTTTGACTGGGAAGTGTTAATGCATCCGCCATATAGTCCTGAACTTGCACCTTCAGATTTCCACCTGTTACTGTGTCTTCAGAATTCTTTAGGCAGTGGTGTCAATTCTGGCGTGATTTTCTAAACTTAAAACTAAATTTAAGGTCAGTCTCACCCTTTCCTTCTGTATAGAGAAGGACAAGGATGCACTGTTGTCAAATTTAAGTTTAGCTTTAGAGAATCATGCCAGAATCGACATCACTGTCAGGTTTGTTGTAGAGGCAATGGTGTCGATTCTAGCATGATTCTCTAAACCTAAACTTAAATTTGACAACAGTGCATCCTTGTCATTCTCTGTACAGAATGAAAAGGAGAGACTGATGTTTAATTTAGTTTTAAGTTTAGAGAATCACGCCAGAATTGGCACCAATATCGCATCACTATTTGACATTTGCTAATCTGTGTTTTTTTCTACTACTTCTAGTTTGCGATGTCTACCTGCGAGCGACTCGGTTTTCAATGTTGAGCTGAACAATAAAATTTATGGAACCCGTCTTGTATGGTTTTACTCAAGCCCTAACGATCAATTAGGTTAACATCACGAGATGCCTTCCAAAACTACTTGTCGCGGTTTTTTGATCAGAAGCCCCAATAGCAATGGGATCATAGCCTTACCCATTTACCTACAAGATGGCAAAAACGTTATCATACTTTAGTTAGGTATATGTAGATAAACTTCATTAAAAAATGTTTTAAACTTTCATAAAGCGAAGAAAGTTATTCCCCAACCTTATTTAATTATGTGTAAAGAAAATAAGTCGTGGGAAAATTCACAAACGTTGGGTTACCTGCAATGCGAAAAGATGGCTCTGCCTCGCAGCCTAAGAAATACTAGAAGAAATTCGACATGGTCATTCATTAAGGTCGCGGTCAGAGCCTGATTTACCCACAGGCTAATAAGGCTAGAGCCTAGGGCGCAAGGACCAAGGGGCGGCCGGTGGACGCGCTGCTGCGACTTACATTACAATAATAATATTATTTCGGTAATTTTGGGAAAATATGTTCGTTAAAATAAAATTCCTGAGTGCGCTCTCACAGAGACGTAAAAACCATAGATGGATGCAACATCGTGAACAAAATCGTGGCCGAAACCTGTCCTAAAGGTAATAAAGTAACAGATTTTTTTTTTCGAGTAGACTACTCGAGTAGATCTTTCCATTAAGAAATCAGAAATCTAAGCACAAAGACCAGTGGGGATTCCATAAGCAGGCAGTTCAGCTATGAGGCCACCGTGCCAAACTTTGTCAAAGGCGTTAAAAATGTTTAGCGAGACAGCTAATGCCTCGCCATGTTTCTCAAGTTCCTCATCCCAAGGTGTGTGGCATACACAAGAAGATCCTCAGTAGAACCGCGCAGGCGAAATCCGTATGCCAATCACTGCGAAGATCATTGTCTTCCAGGAATGCCATCAGGTGTAGTTGGAACATGGTCCTTCACCTTACAGAGGATAGAGGTAATCGAAATTGGGCGATGGTTGTTAGGGACAGCACGATAGCCTTTATTGGGTACAGCCTGTACCCTGTACGTAAGCCAGCTTCCAGACTGTCAATATCGTTTCAGTCTAGAAAGACAAGCGAAACAGGCGTGCCAAAACAGGAGACAATTCGGCTGCGCAGTTCCTCAATACAATGGCAGGAATACCATCGGGCCACTGGTTTTCTTCACATCTAAATTGCGCAATATTTTAGCCACCTCCTTCTGATGAATGAAGATTTCAGCCATTTTACATTTGCAAGGAGACCAACTTTGATGTTGCTTTAATGCCTGAATCCAGATGTGAATTTGCGGCAAATATACAGAGTGTTACAAAAATATAAATAAAGCTTGAAGGGCATTGAAGTACATCATATAAGGAGTCTTCTCTAATTTTCTTAAAATATTTGCATGAAGTTTTAACTTTTTATAAAAACAGTTATTTTTAATGATACTCGAACTAGTGACGTGTCTTAAAATGAGCGATATTTTTATTAATCATTAAAAATAACTGTTTTTATAAAAAGTTAAAACTTCATGTAAATATTTTAAGAAAATTAGAGAAGACTCCTTATATGGTGTACTTCAACGCCCTTCAAGCTTTATATGTATTTTTGCAACACCTTGTAGAAGCAAATAGATTCGCCTTTTCAACTGCTGTGTGCGCCTGTGTACCATCAGGTTTCTGCAGACGAGAAAGTAAGGAGCGGCAAAAATTAGCTTCGACACAATTGGCCAGGGACCAGAATTCCTTGCTTCCTGAAGAAAACTATGTGAGTTTAGCTCTAACATTGCCGACATGATTGAAGCGGGCTTTGTGGGCGCTTCTTTAGGACTTGGCTGCTGCATTATAGGTTTTTTCTTTTTGAGCGCATCCAGAGCTTTTCGATTCTTGACATATGTCCAGGTCTCGTATGCTGACTGCTTGATCGCTTCAGCTTTTGAACAGTCAGCGTCAAACCATAGCTGAGCTCTTAGAGCTGGTCTGAGAACGAAATATAATATTCAATCGCTTGAGCAACAACCCCAACAACAGCGGACGCGGTACTAGATGTATCTTTCGGAAGAAAAGCACAACTTTAGCCATCGATGAGATTTCCGAAAATGCACGCATATTGTCCCACGAGGGACTGGGTTAGGCGGGGGCAATAATAATATGGATTTAATTAAATATATATCAGAAAAACATCGCATCTAATTGAAGCCATTAAAAATCGTTGGATATGACTAATCTATCTCCTAGAAGAAGATTGATTGATTCAGGTTCAGAACGCCGGCCATCCCTAGTCTTTATATCTTAAAAAACACAAATACATACCCTACCCTATATAATAACGTGATTAACACCTTTGAAGATATATAAATAAAACAAAAAAGCTACACATACTAATGAAAGGTCGAAATGGTGAAAACTACGGCCGTAAAACACGAATTAAAAAAAAAAGCCTGTGCCTGACCCATAGAGTAACTTTGTTTAAATGGCCTGACCTGTCAGAAATCAGAAAGCAGGGAAGGAAGGAAACGACACACAACCTCTTTCAAAAAATTTCCGTCTTGTAGATTTCATATTTACTTCGTTTTCTTCTATTTATATACATTCCGATGCTTTTCGGTTGTACCTTTTTGTTTAATGAATAAAACGTTTTAATTCAAAGCGTATCTGTGAGCAAACAGTATTTTACTTAACTAAAAGTGCATTATTTACATTGCAAATTTTAAACAAAGATGTTTTCAATAATGAGTAAGCATTGTTATCATATTGCTTGTATTAATTTTATATTAGGCAGTAACATTATACAGTTCCCATCGATAATTATTTCCGGAAACCGATAGAAATCAATTTATATATTTTATGATTAATAATAGTTTCACAGGAAATCAATTGACATGCTAATTAACCTAAATGTATGAATAAATCACTTTGAATTATGAAACTCACAAATTACAGTTGCTAAGGTTTCCACCTAAATCCTGAGTGCTGCTTAAAATCAATAATTATTGGTGAATTATAAGAGTAAACAAGTTGAGGAATCATATTACTATTCAATAAAGTTCCTATTCTTATATATAATTTGTTATAACTCAAAAAATGTTTAACAAGGCTTTGTTGGGGTGTGAGTGTATTATGTTTGGTTGTACCGCTTATAAAAAACTAGTGGCCCGCCCTCGCTTCGCTTCGGGGTAGAATTGATTAAAATCCTTTCTTAGCGGATGCCTACGTCATAACATCTACCTGCATGCCAAATTTCAGCCTGATCCGTCCAGTGGTTTGATCTGTGCGTTGATAGATCACTATGTCAGTCAGTCACCTTTGAGTTTTATATATATATAGATAGTAATAAATAAAAATTGCATTGCAACTTGAAGCAAATGCATAATACTTTCAAAAAGTTTATCAGTTATCAATATTTTCAGATCGTATGATTTCCGTGCTACCTCACCGAATGGCCTACAGCATGGCAGCAGACACAGTAATGAATCCTAAAACTGCTATTATAATGCTTAATATGGGAGGGCCACAGACTACGGATCAGGTATAATTATAGTTTTTGATTCCTGAAATACTATTGAATGCAAATAATCACTTTTTCTTTAAAAGAAAGGCTTGTCTTTCCTTACATTATACTTATAGAAATACTATTGGCTTATTCTTTAATCCAATAACACAAAAGAAAGATGTCCAATGACGATGAGACATTTGTTAACACATTTATTTGTAAGAACTCTGTTAGACACAGACATGTCAAGCATTGGGAGTAAAAAGGTGTTTATTATTAGCTAGCATATTAGCATCAACATTTTTGGTTTATTTATTAATATATTTTCTTCTTAAGATATTTATCAATTTTTCTTTTTTTTTATTCAAAATCCTAAAAAAGATGTGAAAAGTAGATTTATGTAAAAAGTATTAAAATGTATCATACATATATGGGAAAATCTATAATCTGTGGGAAACATTTATTTATGCCTCATATATATATATATATATATATATTTATATTTAACCATCTACCATTAAACAGGACATAGCTACTTTACCAGTCTTATTACATAACATAAAATATCCACCCATTGTACCAATTCTTATTTTTCTTTGTAGCTTATCAAATACTGTGATTTTTAGTAATTAGGTTACTGGAATCCTAAACTCCTTTAGGAGCCTCTTTTCTGGGATAAAACTTATCCTATGTCTTAATCCAAGTCGTAAACTATAATATATGTGCACCGAATTTCATCCAAACCTGTCAGTAGTTTTGATTTGAATGAGTAACAATTTGAGTGATGATCCCCGCAGAATGTATACATACAACATATGTTCGTCTGCACAAAGTTTATACATACTTTCACGTATTAGTAAGATCGAAGTGTATTCAATCTCTTACAGGTCGGTGACTACCTTCATAGGATCATGACAGATAGAGACATGATTCAGCTACCCGTACAAAGCAGACTGGGTCCGTGGATAGCAAGCAGACGGACGGAAGAGATAAAGAAGAAGTACATGGAGATTGGGGGTGGATCACCCATCCTGAAGTGGACCAATAAACAAGGTATGTTATACTGTCAAGGTGGACTGGGAGTCTAGGAAAACATTGAATGGAGTGTCAGGTTTTTATTTGCACTGCTGTATCGATTATAATTAGGGATGCAACAATACTGATAGCACAATCGTATATCGACGATTATCATAAGTTTTTACGTTCATTCGTTCGTAAACAGAATTTTTTTTCCTATAAAACAGCCTGTGCACAATTGGCATTTTATGGAGTTTGCAAATGGAAAACTTCTATGGAAAATATAAAACGGAAATCCGTCACTGGCGTCACACGACACGACTATATATATATATATACTAGCTGACCCAGCGAACTTCGTACCGCCCTAAAAAAATAGGGGTTGTCCAGCGGACAAAATTGTGAATCTAAACCATTCTCAGATCCCCTTGAACACACACAAAAAATTTCATCAAAATCGGTCCAGTCGTTTAAGAGAAGTTCAGTGACATACACACTCACAGAAGAATTATATATATAAAGATATGTGTGCGCAACTCTTCCCGACGAACATGAAAGTTGGAGGGTAACTCAGCGAAGGCTGAAATGCTACGAGCGTCACAGGCGACAATATATATATATATATCTTAATATATATAAATCTCGTGTCACAATGTTTGTCCTCAATGGACTCCTAAACCACTGAACCGATTATAATAGAATTCGCACACCATGTGCAGTTCGATCCAACTTGAGAGATAGGATAGTTTAAATCTCAAATTATAGTCGCAATTTTAATTTATTGCAAATTATTACTTTTGGGCGGTACGAAGTTTGCCGAGTCAGCTAGTATATATATATATATGAGTGCTGCGTGCGCTGCTCCATTCCCCTCTGCTATGCCTTATGCACCGCCTAATGTTAGCTTCCGTGCACATTAATGTTTAATAATGTCAAATACCCAATTTAACAATGTTGTTGCAGGTCAATTGTTAACCCAAGCCCTAGATCAAATGTTGCCGGAGAGCGCGCCTCATAAACATTACGTAGCGTTCAGATATGTGACCCCGTTTACTGAAGACGCTTTACAAGAAATCGAGCGGTGAGTCACATATTTTTTGAAGTGAAACTTCTTTATCGGCGTTGGAAAAAAATTTACCGTCACATTTTTATTCGGTTACGCGTCACGTTTTTTGGTTACGCGCCATCTTTTTTTTAAAAGAGCACTATTTACCTCATCCGAACAATTGCTTCTTCTGTCAACTTTAAAAAAAAAAGTATCGACAGCAAATATTCGTGTTTCACACAAGGTAAGGTAAGGTAAGGTAAGGTGTAGTTATACCCCTTAAGTGGGTGAGTTTTTGAAAAATCTTAGCGCACGCCTATATATATATTTCTGGAAAGTTGCATGTAGATCATTTTTCGATAAAAATAAGGCCATAAAGAAGTTTCACTTCTTACGTGTGTACACTAGTACACGCACACATTTTTTTGGTTTATAATCATAATCTTTATTTGCTAAAAACACGGTATATAGGTAATTACATAACAGATTGAGCACGTGTTTTGCCATTTTAAAAATAGCATGCAAATACATATTATGGAACCAATAAAAAAAAGAGATAAATTAATTATAACATTTTTCTGTAGAATTTTGAATGTCAGAGTTACCTAATATCATGTCAATAAAATATACAATGTCAACATATTAATACTACAAGATTTCTAAATGTCAGATATAAAAAAAAATAAAAACATACATTTATCATAATTATTATAGGATAAGTTAAAACATGTCATTAATTTTTATAATTGAAAGAACTTTTTATGTCATAAAAAATTGTTTTCATTTAGCCATTTATATAGTTTATTTTTAAACATGTTCATATTTAGCATTTTCATGTCATTTTTAACTTCGAAAGGGATGTTATTAAAATGCAAAAAATATGGATAAAGTTAATTAAAACGTTGTGAAAGTTATGGCGTGACTAGGGTTACTATTTGAAATTTTGAAAAATCCTGACAAAAAGCCGGACATTTCGATAAAAGTCCGGACATTTTAGCCACAAAATGCAAACATCACCCACTTAGTAATACCGGCCATACACACTACGAGAAATCGTTACGATCAGACTGTACAGTTCGAACGGTACAGTTTATACGATTTCGTTTAGTATAGGAAACTGTGCAGTTTTATAACATACACGCTACGATTTATCGGTACCGTTCGGACTGTACAGTCTAATCGTAACGATTTATCGTAGTGTGTATGGCGGGTGTTACAGTGATATTATACGCGTGGTAGCAGACGCTCGCATCGCGAGGGGGGTCTCGTTGTTGATATTTAAACATGATTTATATTTTGTTTTAAATTAATGTGAACTTAATAAAGATTATTTGACGTATTTGATATAACTTAATAAGTAGTTTTACTCATATTCCATCTAATTTAAAAAATCCGGCAGAAATTCCGGCCATGTACGGACAAATCCGGACGGATGGTAACCCTAACGCGCCGCCACTGATGACAAGCAATTCAAGGCCTGTCAGATCATAATCATAATCATTTATTTCGTAATTAAATAATTTTTTTAATTTATGAATAAAGGACACCCGGCATTTTGTGCCAAAGTTGTATACTTTTTTAATTTTTTTATCTGTGTTTCACAATTGGGTAACGTAGTCTGGCAATATTTGTCATCAGCAGCTAGCTGTCAATGTTAAATACGTAGGTTGTCAATATAACCTCTCTATGTAGCCGGGTCGTCAAGAGAAAAAACGGATTAAAAGGCAATCACAACAGAGAACATTCACAATCACAGTACGCGGGAGCGGATGCGAAATGCGAATGTTTTTTTTGTTTGTATTTTAGGATTGTCAAATTGACATTTGGTTTTTTTTATTTAGAAAAAGCAAAGGAATCATGGTTTTTACAGTCACTTGACTAATATTTTGAATTAAAATTCTGTCCCTTGAAGATTTAGGGTTTCCATATCCAAAAATATTAATCATAATATAACTTCTTTCCACGAATCACTAAAAATAAAGCAAAAGTAGTTTTATGTAGCAAATAATTTTGGCTTTATTTTGAGACCAAATTCAACTGTATACAAGTTTAGCATTTTTTCTATGAAAAGTGCCGGGTCTCCTTTAGAATAGAAATACATAGAGTATTAACTAAACTTTCAATAAATTCAAAAATGTCAAAATTCAATTCCTATGTCAAATTCAAATTATATTAAAATACAATATTTATACATAAATGTAGTTAAATGTCACATAAAAATTACAATAATAAAACAAAAAAATAATGAATGAAAAAATAGTCATTAAATATTATAGAAAAATATAATAATCAGTCTTGCTAAGGCCGCCATCGGTTGTCCTAGCGACGACATGCGTCGCTAGGTCTTTCTCTTTCACTGTGTCCAATCCAAGACCATCCTGTGACGCACCTATGTAACGGCGCATGCGTTATTTATCACAACAAGCAGCTGTCATATTTGTCTTTGACTTTTTTATATTTTCAGTGCATTTTTCAAGTTATTTTATTGTGTTTTTTAATTTTGTTTTAAGTTATTCTTTTTTGTGAATATATTTAAGTTTTGTGAATGCAGTCCGCGACCCAATCTAGTGATGGCACGTCGAACACGACCCGTAAATGTACACAGTGCCACAAATCATTCAAATCTTTGAAAGGCCTCAAAATACACACTACAAAAATACACAGGAAATGTATTAGCCAAAATAGTTCACCTTTAGACATCCATCCCATTATTCCGAGTGGGCCTACTTATGTAGCCAACGATCCAACTCCTTTCCACACATATCTTAGCCATTTGAAAAATAGTATACCCATAGTTAAAAGAATCCCTCGAGGAGCTCGAATAACTGTTGCTACACATTTATCACAATTAATTCAGAAATGCTACATAAGTAATTGTTCTCAAGACTGGCAGAACCTATTTTTATTTTCATACAGCACACTAAATATCTTAAAAACTAATGAACTGAATTTATCCTTAACACAAAAGATCAAGAATAATTGTGCTGTAAGCTCCTTGCCTTCTCCCGCACCTCTAATCAAACACAATGCCCCTCGGAATCGCATCAAACTCATTGAAAATAAAATCTGTGACGGAGATCTCAAAGGTGCCGCTCGCCTTTTGTTCTCCAACGACGTGCTATCACCAGATACCCCTGACACCCTTCAGGCCTTACGGACAAAACATCCCCCAGCTCCAGTAAACCCATATTTTTTCGATCCACCAACAGCAGGGCAAGCATGCCTTCAAATTCAAAACAAAGATGTTACGGATGCCATTTTGTCTTTTAAACCAGGTTCGGCTGCAGGTTTGGATGGAATCTCACCCCAACATTTGAAAGACTTAACGTCGCATTCTGTGGGTGATGCAGGAAAGCAACTTATAAATTCGATCACTAATTTAATCAACTTTATGTATTCCGGTAGTGTCAATCAAGAAATTGTTCCCATTCTTTTCGGCGCGAACCTCATTGCCCTCACCAAAAAGGACGGAGGGGTGAGACCAATTGCTGTTGGATCAACACTACGACGTCTGGCCTCCAAAATTGCTGTTCGACATATTTTACCAAAATTAAATTCGGAATTTGAACCCGTACAGTTAGGCTTTGGTGTAAAAGGAGGGTGTGAGGCAGCCGTCCATGCCTTACGCTCCTTCCTAACTTACGGACAGCCTGACGTGTTGCTCAAAATTGATGTCAAAAATGCATTCAATTCGGTAAATAGGGATACCCTGCTGACGGAAATAAAACAACATATACCGGAAATATACAATTATCTTCTTCTCAGTTACGCCGACCCAACAAAATTGTTATATCGTTCTAATGAACTATCCTCGGAAGTAGGTTGTCAACAGGGTGATCCCCTTGGGCCTGCAATTTTTAGTTTGGCTATAAATCCGATAATAAAAAAATTAAATTCTAAATTCAACGTTTGGTACTTGGACGACGGAACCCTAGGAGGTGATGTGGATACTGTGTTTTCGGACCTTTTTTTAATCAAAAACAAATTTGAAGCCATTGGTTTAGAGCTTAATTTTAGCAAATGCGAACTTTTTATAAATAACTGTGACTTAAATTTAAATGATGTTAAACAAAAATTTAATATTTTGGCTCCAAATATTAAAATAGTTAACAGAAATTCCCTTTACCTTTTAGGTTCTCCAATTTTTGATGAATCTATTTCTGAATATTTTAATAATTCAATTAATAAATTCCAAAATTCTGCCGACCGTCTCCTTGAAATTAGTCCACATTATGCACTTTGCATCTTAAAATTCTGTCTTTTTGTCCCAAAATTAACGTATGTCCTCCGTTGCTGCTCCTTTTGGAATCATCCAGATCTTTTGGCACAAGTAGACGGCTTAATCAAAAATAACTTAGAATCAATTCTTAATATGCAGCTTAACGAGCAATCTTGGACCCAAGCATCCCTACCCATCCGTTATGGTGGTTTAGGGATTCGCAAAATTTCCAGTGTCGCTTTACCAGCCTTCCTATCTTCTGTCCATAGTTCAGCAAATCTCATAAGTAAAATTTTAAGGGCATCCCCTTCAAACTTTGAGATTGCTGGCTTGGAAGAAGCTAGAAACGCTTTCATAATTGCATGCCCAGGTCAAAATTTTCCAGTTTCTCCAAATTCACAGAGGAGCTGGGATGACATAAACTGTAAATTGACGTATGATAACCTTTTGAGCTGTAGTACAGGTTCGGCGCGTGCTAGGCTTTTGGCCGTGGGTGCGCACGAGGCCGGCTACTGGCTTCACGCGTACCGCTCGGCAAATACAGGAACATTTCTTGAGCCTGACACGCTCCGAATCGCAACCTGTCTACGGCTTGGGGTCCCGGTCTGCGCTCCTCATAAATGTCCCTGTGGCAGTGATGTCGACAAGCTAGGACATCACGGACTGTCTTGCCAAAAAAGTGCAGGCCGCTTCTCGAGACACGCCGCACTTAACGATATCATACGCCGGTCCCTTGCCACCGTCAACGTGCCAAGTCTACTTGAGCCAACTGGTATTGCAAGAGACGATGGCAAGAGACCGGACGGTATGAGTTTGATTCCATGGAAGATGGGTCGGGTGCTAGTATGGGATGCAACCTGTTCAGACACGCTGGCCCCTTCCCATCTACATGGAACCAACAACAGAGCTGGTGCGGCTTGTGAAGCTGCTGAAAAAGCTAAGGCAGGCAAATACAGGGGTCTAGGCTCCGAATATGATTTTGTCCCATTCGGTGTCGAGACCCTTGGTCCGTGGGGTCCTAGCGCTTTAAGGCTATTTAAGGAAATAGCAAAAAGGTTAGTCGACGTCACAGGAGACCGAAGAGCTGGCAGCTACCTCGGACAAAGAATTAGTCTAGCCATTCAAAGAGGTAACGCTGCCAGTATCTTCGGTTCCTTGCCTAAAGGGACTCCTTTTAATAATATATTTTAGTTATTAATTTTTATGTTTTTAAGGTTTTTAATTTTAGTTTTAGTTTTATTATTCTAGTATTTATATTTTACTTATATATAGTAATTATGTAATTAGATAGAGACTTATTTGTTTATAGTTAGTGTATTTTATAGTTTTATGATGTGAAATTGTTAATGTTAGTTGTATTTTATTGTTATATCTTCTTAAGTTATATGCCCAATTTAATTGTAATACGATAATCAGTCTTATATAATGCATGGATTTATCATTTAAAAACTCATCGTGGTTCAAGGCTGCGTTCTATACCTACGCTTTTAGTGGAACTTTTTACCTTGACGTTCCCATTTTGACAGAAGTGTGAAACATATGTCAAATTTGACGTTTGCTGCACCTGGAGCGTAGGTTTGGAACGCAGCCCAAGTCTATCTGTCTGATTAAACCTACAGAAAATTTGGACTTGAGAAAATTTCCACGCGGTCCAGGAAGCAGACGGGACTCGAACCCGCGCCCTCTGCTATCCGGGCGGATGCACTCATCAATTATGCTACCGCGGCCTCAATTGCCCTGTCGATTTTTTTCTAGTCTTTCTTAGGCTACATGGTAGCGCCATCTATTCGCATTGTACGTAATCCCGGAGTGAGTGGGTGTTTTTTCTAGTTAAAATAAAATTAAGTTAAAAAAAACCTTTTTAAAAACAAGCTTTTATTCAAATGCGCTAAAAAGAAAAAAAGTAAATTTCAACTAAATAAGTTAAAGATATCTGTTTCTAAATAGATTTTCAAATTTTAGAAGTCCGCCATATTGGATTGAGAGTGACGTCACATTTTTTTCGAGTTACTCTCAGCAAGCCCTTTAATTTGATACCCATATTGTAGGAATGCATTAAAAATGATTGGTCCGCCATTTTGGGTATGCCACCATATTGGACTTAGAATGACGTCTCACTGTTAAATCATGCATTGTCATCCGAACTGAACGAGCATATCAAATTTCAGCTTAATCGGTTGAGAGCAAGTGCTTTAAAATTGAGTTGTAAGATTTGACCGTAACAAACATACATAGCAAGTTAAATAAAAGCTTGTAAAAAATCTTTAGTTCTTTTTGATGATGATAAAGATGTTTTATATATTTTAAATGTTGTCTTCCATAGTGATGGTGTCACCAGAGCAGTGATATTCTCCCAGTATCCTCAGTACAGTTGTGCCACAGCTGGATCTAGTTTCAACGCCATTGCCGACTTTTACAAAAACCGGTGAGTCATTAAATATAATTATTTCAAATAAAAAAAAAATATATGCCCGCTTGCAGCAAATTTTCTAAATCTCGATTCAACCAAAAGTATTGTTATCTCAATTCAATAAAAACTTAGCCTATCTCCTAAAACTGACTTTATCTTGATTAAACTAACTTTAGCTTTATTCTGATTCAATCTAAATTAGTTTTATCTCTATTCAATCAAAATTTGCTTTATATCTATTCAACCCAAAATTGGCTTTTCTTGATTCAACCAAAATTCGCTTTATTTGGGTCAACCTAAATTAGTTTTATCTCTATTCAATCAAAATTTGCTTTATATCTATTCAACCCAAAATTGGCTTTTCTTGATTCAACCAAAATTCGCTTTATTTGGGTCAACCTAAATTAGTTTTATCTCTATTCAATCAAAATTTGCTTTATATCTATTCAACCCAAAATTGGCTTTTCTTGATTCAACCAAAATTCGCTTTATTTGGGTCAACCTAAATTAGTTTTATCTCTATTCAATCAAAATTTGCTTTATATCTATTCAACCCAAAATTGGCTTTTCTTGATTCAACTAAAATTTGTTTTATCTCGATCAACCTTTCGATATAACAATACTTTTGTTACAATACCTTTAATTCGGCCCTGAGATTAATATAATCAAATAATCATGTATGTTAGATGTACCAAGTACTGTAGGCTGTAGAGCAAAAAAAAAATATCAAAGGAAAAAATGTTTACTAGTGTTTACTAGTTGGAATTTGAAAGATTTTTTTCCGAAGTCTCTATTGTGGGGGCCCCCCGTTTGTGGAGGCCCCGGGGCTTTCGCCCCGGTTGCCCTCCCCTAGTGCCGTCTTTGACCTATTGGAGGCCCTGGGCATATTAGGATAATGGGGCCCCTATGACCCCCGTTTGGTGATCTAACTAATCTAAGTCGAACTAGGGACTTTGTTTTTGTGATCTGAGGGGGGCCCCTATCGGTCGCGGGGCCCACTATCCCAAAGGGCCCACTGGGACTAACGGGTCTGGGCACAGGCCTTCCCTATGGGTGGAATAGGGAGATTGGGCCATGACCCAACACGCGGGTACTATACTAACGACTGCAGTTGCAGCCGGGAATAATAGCTTAGCGTGCCTTCCGAAGCACGGAGGAACTCGAGATAGAAGATTTTTGGGCACCCATCCAATGACTGACCACTGCGAAAGTTGCTTAACTTCAACGATCGCAGCCGAATGCTCGAACTACCCGCGTCATCACGTCATCATGTTTTATTCACGCCGGTTGGTTTGGATCGTTCCGGTTATCTTAGCTAGCACTATCGACGATTGACGTAATGTTTGTTGGTGATTTGAAGCCATATCTAATACTATATAAAATTCTCGTGTCGCGGTGTTTGTGGTTAAACTCCTCCGAAACGGCTTTCCCGATTCTCATGAAATTTTGTGTGCATATTGGGTAGGTCTGAGAATCGGACAACATCTATTTTTCATCCCCCTAAATGTTAAGGGTAATCCACACCTAAATTTTTTTTTTCAATTTTAGATATTTTTTTTTAATTTTTTTAAGATACATCATACAAAAATACATACATCCCTAAATTTTCACCCTTCTACCACCAACCCCTATTTTTTATGGCGGTACGAAGTTCGCTGGGTCAGCTAGTACTTCAATAAAATTTCGCCATCCAGCTTGCTATCACTATGTTGGTAGATGCCAAAAATTGTAATTGTATGTTAAAGCTGGGATCCTGTGTATTTGCCGATTATTGTTGTACTTTTTCTGTCTTTGCATACTGCCTCATGTTATTTGTCCTTTCTTGCTGTCAATTTCATAGTTGCTAGTTGCAAACTTATTAATAGTAATTCTACTGCCGATCCATGCCTGTGCCATGGACTTATTTATTATTAATAAGCAATTCGTTTAATTATTTCTTTGTGTGTTTTATATTTTTAATGTTTTTTTTTCTTTTGTTTTGGACCAGTCTGTAGTCTGTCCTCCCACAGATAAATCTATTTTTTTTTTTAATTTTTGTACTTTTTCTGTAAGGCTAAGGATGGTAAGAAACATTCAGCCTATGTTATTTTTTTTTATGTGTACATTGGTATGTTTGTTTATAAATAATAATCTGTATCATCAACCTTAGACTTTGCCAGAATCATCAGCGCTGCAGCAGCCCTGGTGTTGCTGTAGTATCAACCTGAGGCAGGGACCTAGTTGGCAAAAAAATATTTTTTATTGTTTTTATTTATGTTAACAATGCTGTTTATGGTCCATAAAATTTCTTTCATTTTTCTTCCATCAAGCTCCTATTTCATGTAATTTCTCATGTTTGAACCGCAGGCAAGTTCCGAGCACCATAAAGTTTAGTATGATAGAGCGTTGGTCCACGCACCCGTTACTGGCCAGAGTGTTTGCTGAACGAATACAGGAGAAACTTGAAGCGTTCGATAGAAATGTCAGGGACGACGTGCTAATATTGTTCACCGCTCACAGTCTACCTTTGAAGGTGAGTTTAGGTTCAAAGATAATTTATTTCCCATAAAGACATACAGTCCACTTAAAATGAGAATATAAATATAACATGCAGTTGTGTATTACTTATTGCTCCTTTTGGAACATCGGATATTACAGTTACAAATCTCTTATCTATTAGACAAGTCCGTCCGCCCGTCCGTCCGTGGTGCTGTTTCAGCGGCCAAACCGTAAGAGATAGATAAAGAGAATGTTTAAGTTATAAGTTGAGAATAGTCTGATAAGACTACAAACCGGATGTGAGTAACGTAGCACTTCCGGTTTTCGAGAAATCACGTGATTTCTATTTCAAACGAAACCACACAAAATCTCCGAAGTTCTCAATTAATTAAATACATTTTTTTTTTTGTGAACATTTGGTTCACTGGTTTGCTAGTTTGATACTAATACTTAAGTTCAACACCCTTGAAAAGTAGTTGTCACTTATGTCTTTCTTCTATTATGACTTAACTAGCAAACCAGTGAACCAAATGTTCACCAAAAAAAAATGTATTTACTTAATTGAGAACTTCGTAGATTTTGTGTGGTTTCGTTTGAAATTCGTGATTTCTCGAAAACCGGAAGTGCTACGTTACTCAAATCCGGTTTGTAGTCTTATCAGACTATTATTAACTTATAACTTAAACATTCTCTTTATCTATCTCTTACGGTTTGGCCGCTGAAACAGCACCACAGACGGACGGACGGACGGACTTGTCTAATAGATAAGAGATTGTTCAAAGCCCAGTGTTTAAGTTATTTCATCTTATGAGCATTCACAATGTTATTCTTATGTTAATAACAAAACAATTATATATAATATAATTTTCCATTCCAATTTAAAAGAACGCAATTCCCAGTATCGGTGTGTTATGCAATGACAATAAATAAGGCTCAAGGGCAGACTTTTCGTGTTGCTATAGTAGATCTCGGTGTCAGTTGTTTTTCACATGGTCAGTTATATGTCGCTCTTTCCCGGGTTAGCAGTTCTAGAAATTTTTATGTTCACGTGCCGGATGGGTCAACTTTCAACGTAATTTACCCGGAAGCTTTGCGCTGAAGTATTTTCATTCTATATGTACTTAAGCCTCATGTGAAAGTGATCTAAACAATATTACCAATACATTAACATAATAGCATACAAGGAGTTACACGCTGATGGTCTCGGGGCACAGTGATAATAATAATATTCTGCGGTTCCTTATTGCGATATTTTTAACAGTATTGTGGATTGACATATTATATTTCCCTACTAAAATACGAAAGTTAATCTGTCTGTCACATCAAAACCACGGAACCCTGAGGAAGGACATATGCTACTTTTTTACGAAAAACGACGAAAACGCGGACGAAGTCGCAGGCTAAAACTAGTATATAATATAATTAAAAATTAATCAAACAAAATCTACTCGACTATTCCTTAGGCGGAGTTTGATATAAACAACTAGCGGCCGCCCGCGACTTCGTACGCGTGGAGTTAGTTAGAAATAAAGGTTCACTGCTCGTTCCCCGTAGGTGATAGCGTGATAATATGTAGCTTATATGTTGACCCGACTTCTTAATAATATTCGTGCCAAATTTGAAGTAAATCCATGCAGTACTTTTTGAGTTTATCCCGGACATACATTCCGACAAAAATTCTAAAAACTATATTTTTTGCTTCGGTGTCGATTGTAGATCACACCCCAAGTGTTTTAAAAAAATATTCAATGTACAATTTTGACTTTCCTACCATTTTGTTATATGTATAATGATATTATATTGTATAGAAAATTTTACTAGAGAAAATTCTTCGCGGTCCAGGGGCTCTACTTTCTTTTATGAACTTTCGATAGCGAAGTTCAAAAAAAAAATTAATGTCGTCAATTTAAGGTTATACTTAATTTGTACGATAAACTATCAAATTGAAGCTTTCTTTGAGTAGGCTTAGAAAATCTACACCTCAATCCATATTTCGACGACGAATATTATTTGTAAAGCAAACTTTTGGTTCACTGAACCAAATGTTCACCAAAACCTGATTTCTCGAAAACCGGAAGTGCTACGTTACTCAAATCCGGTTTGTAGTCTTATCAGACTATTCTTAACTTATAACTTAAATATTCTCTTTATCTATCTCTTTCGGTTTGGCCGCTGAAACAGCACCACAGACAGACGGACTAGTCTAATAGATAAGAGATTAAAAACGAAACATAGTAAGGAAAGTGCGAAGTATCGATCGAAATTTCGTTTTTCGTTGAAGAGGGTATTTGACAGTGTTAAAAATAAAGTGCCAATTGTTAGCATCTGTGTTTAGAATTTTACAGAGGTTTTTACTATTTTTACTAAAAAAATATTCATAATTTTACTAAAAACTAACGAAAAAGATAATAGTTTTCTTATCTATATTGTCACGTGACCCAAAACGCTTGGGATTGGCGGAGCCTAAAATAACTTCATACGCAAGTAAACTTCCGGTTAAAGTGACATTACATTGTATCGTTTGACGTTTTAATAACAGTAGTCTGACGTCACACACTACTAAGACGCCATATTGTCCAGAGCAACGTTTTCGCGGCAACTTGAAAATGGAGTTTTTGAATTGGTTATTTTTACTGAAATACACAACAGAATGATGAATATCCACTTTTTACGGACTCCATAAACATTAGTCAATAACGTGAAATCGTTTTCTAAAACTTGTCAAATACCCTATTAGAGTCGGCCTCCAGGCAGCGTACGGGACTCGAACCCGCACCTTCCGCTATTCAGGCGGATGTACTGACTAATTAGTTACCGGCTGTGTTGAATTTCTTCTAGTCATTCTTAAGCTGCAAGGCAGCACCATTTCTTCGCATTGTAGGTTACCCACAATGTCAAATGAATACCTTTACAAGTATTAAACATTTGAAAGAAGAATTAGCAATTATAGTTTAATTTAAACATCTCGCAGTAAAATGTTTAAAGAATAAAAACAAACTATATCAGATAATAAAATAAATTTGAAGACCTCCGTGGCCGAGTGGTTTGTACGCCGGATTTCATGGTGTCGCCGACTCCAGAGGTCCCGGGTTCGAATCCCGGTGGGAGCAGATGTTTGTGTGATGAATACGAGCATTTGTACTTCAGTTATGGATATTTAATATGTATTTCTATATAAAATATACTTATATATGTAGAGTTTAAGTATTCTCTCCGTTACCATAGCATCCCATAACACAAGCCTTATAGTGCTTACTTTTTGTGCTAATTAAATAATATAAATAAATAAATATTTCCAACACTCACACCAATTAGCCTATCCCCAAAGTAATCACTGTAAGGCTTGTGTTATGGGATACTAGGGTAACGGATAGAATACATATACTGTACATAAATAAGTATATTTATATAGAAATACATATTAAATATCCATGACTGAAGTACAAATGCTCGTATTCATCACACAAACATCTGCCCCCACCGGGATTCGACCCGGGACCTCTCGATTCAGCGACACCATGAAACCCGGCGTACAAACCACTCGGCCACGGAGGTCGTCGAATTGGTGTGAATGTTGGAAATATTTATTTATTATCATTTATTTTTTAATTTATCAGGCCGTATCCCGCGGCGACACTTACCCCTACGAGGTGGCTGCGACAGTAGCCGCGACAATGTCGCAACTGAAAGCCCCCAACGCGCACCGACTCGTCTGGCAGTCTAAAGTGGGGCCGTTGCCATGGTTACAGCCTTACACGGATGACGCCATAAAGGTATACTTGAATAAAAATAAAACAATGATATTCTCAGACAAGTTAGGTCAGGGGCTAGGACTATTAATTAAAAATTCCAGTGATGAAAACATTATAAATATATGTACTCCTGGAAAATCATTTCATGAAATTGTAAATAACTTGACCCACCATAATGTGGATAGTTATACTAACTTACTGTTTTTGTGTGGTGACAGTTCCAGATTATCAATACGGGACATTACAAAAAGTGTTGAGCACTTATTGAAAATTCAATCTGAATCTAATTGTAAAATAATAATTAGCGCTTTCCCATATGCACATAACTTATCTAGGGAACAGAATAAGCGCATCTTTAATTTAAATTTAAGTCTTTATAATTTAATTAATAGTCATAGTGACGTATTTTTATATTTCGATATAAATAAATATATTAGATATTTTAAGTTGACTACAGATACTATGTATCTCGCAAAGAAATATAGGACCCAGATAGCTAATTTGTTAGCTTTTAATATACAAAATACGGTTATACATGGTATAACTAACTGTATTCGACAAAATAGTGTTAGTATTTCTAGTAAAAGAAATATTAATTCTATTAATAACTTAACCAGCCCAGTTTTAAACTGAGCTTAAAGACAAAAGCCAAACCTAATAAAAGAGTTATTAATATTATTCATCAAAATATACAAGGTTTGGCTGGCAAAGACCTAGAATTAGAATTGTATTCAAAAAGTGAGGACATACACATTATATGTTTAACAGAACACTGGCTCAAGCTTTGTGAAATGTCGTATCACATAAACAACTTTCAATTGTTGAGTGCTTATGTTCGTAGGACAGCCATACATGGCGGCTCATTGATTTTTGTTAACAAAAATATTAAATGTAAGGATAGAAAGGATATAGCTGGCCTTTCAATTGAACGTAGCATTGAGCTGTCTTGTGTGGAATTAAATGAGATGATAATAGTATGCGTATACAGACCCCCTCTAGGTAACTTCAACATTTTTGAATCTGTGATGGAGGATGTACTGAAAAAGTTAAAGTCGAAAAATAAGTTTTTGGTTGTTTGCGGTGACTTTAATATTAATATTCTTGAACAAAATTCAATGTCAGTACGTATAATATCATTATTTAAATGTTTTAATTTGACCCATCAATTTTTTGAGCCTACTAGGGTGACATCACATTCAGCAACTTGTTTGGATAACGTATTTACAGATAGTACTCCTGATAATAAATCCATTTTTAATAGTATTACATCTGACCATTATGGCTTAAAAATACAATATAAAATAGATGTAACAAATGAATCTAAAGTGATTGAATTGAGACCAGTAACAGAAAACCGGTTAGAAATTTTTCAAAAAAACATTGACTATAGTATTTCTCATATCCCATGGACACATGATGATCCTGATATTCTTTTTGGGGATCTTTTTAATCTAATAAGAAATGAATTTGATAAGGCTTTTCCCTTAAAAACTTCGAAACTTACTCCAAAGTTACAGTTCTGTGACTGGGCTACGACTGGTATCTATAAAAGTAGAAACAAACTTTATGAATTGTATCATCTAAGAAAATATAATCATTCACAAGGTTTTATTGATTACGTTAAATGTTATTCTAAAACCTTTAAAAAGGTATGTGCAACAGCCAAATCTAATTTTATTAAAAATAAAATATGTAAATCGAATAATAAAATCAAAACAACGTGGAATGTTATAAATCGTGAAACAGGCAAAGAAAGGTCACGTGACGATATTGTTGAACTTAAGTCGAATAACATGTTAATAAAATCTAAACAACATATCGCTAATATTTTTGATGAATATTTCGTTAATATTCCTTTGGTGGCTACATCTAATTTAAGTTCTTCATCGGTGGCTGCCAAGCCTTTGCTCGAGAAATATGTACCTAGGTGTGATAACGTGTTTCAGTTCAGACATATTAATTTTATTGATGTTATTAAGTGTTTTAAATCTCTTAAACAAAAAAATACAAGTGATTTATGGGGTATTTCTACTAAAGTTATTAAAAGTATAATACCCGTTATTGCTCCTTATCTAGTTGATATATTTAATAACTGTATTGATCAAGGAGTATTTCCGGATTTAATGAAATACAGTAAAGTTATACCTCTTTTTAAATCAGGAAATAGAAATGACCCTGGAAACTATAGGCCTATATCAATATTACCGGTTCTTAGTAAAATATTTGAAAGAATTATTCTGGAACAATTGATGCCTCATTTCAACCTTAATAAACTTTTGCATAGGAAACAATTTGGTTTTACTAGAGGTAGATCTACTACTGATGCGGGTGTTGCACTTGTAAGGAGTATATTGGAGGCTTGGGAGAGGTCGCAGAATGTCCTTGGAGTGTTCTGCGACTTATCCAAAGCTTTTGATTGCGTTGATCATCACACGCTGTTATTGAAATTGAGTCATTATGGAGTCAAAGGTACTGCATATAAATTGATACAGTCGTACCTCAGTTTCAGAATACAAACTGTAGAGGTAAATGGTGTTAGATCATCTGGATCTCATGTGGAAATGGGCGTTCCCCAGGGTTCAATTTTAGGTCCCTTCCTGTTTCTAATATATGTAAATGATTTGCCATTTTTTGTGGAAAATTTGTGTGAGATTGTATTATTTGCTGATGACACATCTTTATTATTTAACGTTGACAGGCGCAAAAACAACTATGACGATGTAAATAATGCTCTCTCTCAAGTTCTGCAATGGTTTAATGTCAATAATCTAAAGCTAAATGCTAATAAAACCAAGTGTATTCAATTTTCCTTACCTAATGTAAAAGTTGAGCATATTGGAATTAAATTAAATAATGAAAAATTAGATTTAGTAGACTCGACTACATTCTTGGGTATAACGATAGACTCAAAACTGCAATGGAGTCATCACATTACGCTTTTGGCTGGTAAACTTAGTTCAGCAGCTTATGCCGTAAGAAAGATAAGACAACTTACTGATATAGATACTGCCAGGACTGTATATTTTAGTTACTTTCATAGTATCTTATCATACGGCATTTTACTCTGGGGAACAGCAGCTGATATTGAAAGTATTTTCATTTTACAAAAAAGAGCTGTGAGATCTATTTATCAATTGAGTAGCCGAACATCTCTTAGAGAAAAATTTAAAGAAATTGGCATTTTGACTGTTGCTTCTCAATTCATTTACAATTGCATACTCCTCGTTAAAAATAATATCAATTTGTATACCAAACACAGTAACGTACACAATTTTAATACTAGGAATAGAAACAGGCTTGCATTGCCAGCCTACAGGTTACAGAAGCTTTACCGATCTTTTATGGGTCAAGGTATACATTTTTACAATAAAATTCCTGATGCTGTTCTTGAGTTACCCATAAACGAGTTCAAATGTCACATTAAAAGTTGTTTAGTTAAGAAAGGCTATTATACTATTAAAGAATACTTGAATGACAAAACTGCATGGCTGTAACTGCAAAATTGTTTTGTATTTGTTTGCAGTGTCGTACAGATAAATTACCTTAACTCTAAGTAACCATTTTGCAGATTGGTTTTAGTGGTTATGGGTAGTCATGCTCTCTTAAAAATCTCTTCGGCGGTGTCGTGTGAGGCGGGTCGTTGCGTTCCCTAAAATATGGTTGAGCGAAGCGGTGGCTGGTTCATGCGTCATACTCGTGAACGGGTGCTGCCAGCGGAGATGAGTCTGCTCTATACTACTTTATTATTGTAATGATAATTATTATTAATTTTTGATTGTATTTTACATTACACAACTTGTATTTATACTGTGTGACACAGCAATCAAAATGTAAGTGAACATATATTATTTCTCTGATAAAGATTTAATGGCGGTGTGGATTCTGGTATGTTTTTCTAGACCTGAACTTGGTTTTGCAGTGGTGTATCCTTGTCATTCTCTATACAGACTGAAAGGGGGGGACTGATGTTTGATTGGTTTTGGGTTGGGAGAGTATTGCCAGGGTCGACAACAGTGTTTAGGTAATCACATGCATGTGTCCTGCCGTTGTGTTTATAGTTTGTTATAATAATGTACACTGGTACCTATATGTATTTTTTTTTTTCTATTTTAGTAACATAGTATCCATGTGTGGTTATGAGTAGTCATGCTCTCTTAAAAATCTCTTCGGTGGTGTCGTGTGAGGCGGGTCGTTGCGTTCCCTAAAAAATGGTTGAGCGAAGCGATGGCTGGTTCATGCGTCATGCTCGTGAACGGGTGCTGCCAGCGGAGATGAGTCTGCTCTTAATTCACTGGGTACTACTATTAATCGTTGTTCTAAACTTTAATCGTTCATTATTATTATTTTCTTTTTGCCTAAGCGGTAGGACACGTCATTCCTAAACTTTGTTAAACCATTTTTTTTACATATTTTAATTTTTTATTTTATAGTCATAATTTTTATATTATTTGCATTTTTTTTTGTTTGTAATGAAAAATGACTTTATGAGTTACCTCATATTGAAGTCATTTTTCAATTTGACGACTCTGTATATAATACAGGGAGAAAAAAACAGCCCTTGCTGAGTTTCTTGCCGGTTCTTCTCAGTACAAGGTCTCCCGCCGTAGATTTGCGAACCGATGGCGTAGCTTTTCGACATTCACAAGTGCTTGTAACAGCCTAGACTGAATAAACGATATTGAATTTTGAATTTTGAATATATATTTATATATATATATATATATATATATATATACATCTTGCTGATCATGTTGCGTCTTATATGGCGATTTTTGCTATTGATCCTGCGTCCGACCGACTTGATGCGCCCGGTATACGGACGCAAGATTAACCTAGCCTCATTTTTGGTGCAAAGACGTCTTTTCATGCATAGAATGCATGGGCAAAAATTTGGCGTGGACTCAATTTCATCACCAGAATGCTTTTTAACGTATTTCATAGTGCAACCATTGACCGTGCGGAATTTGGAGGGCGCTACCGTGCAGTGTATATTTTGCAATGTATATTTCGGGTTCAATTTA